AAAAAAAAAAAAAAAAAAAAAAAAAAAAAAAAAAAAAAAAAAAAAAAAAAAAAAAAAAAGGAAATATCTCCAAAGATAAAAAAAAAAAAAATACTCGTAATTTGTTAGATCAGTAAGGAACACAGAAAAACGCAGGAAGGTAAGGTGTACTTACTGATATGAAATCGAATTCGCAGCAAAATGGACAGAGTTTACAAATCCATAGAAACAGGGAACCTACAAAACTGCAAAGAAGAAAAAATTGGAGAACTAAGAGAAAAAGGAAATGGGAATCGAATAAAATAAAATAAAAAAATAGGGAAAAAAATTCCGTTGCCGGGAATCGAACCCGGGTCTCCTGGGTGAAAGCCAGATATCCTAACCGCTGGACGACAACGGATTATTTGCTAATTTTTCTTCAGTTTATATTAAAATAATAAAAATAAAATAAAAATGGGAAAAAAGTTCCATTGCCGGGAATCGAACGCGGGTCTCGGATAAAAGCCAGATATCCAAACAGCTGGACGACAACGGAAATTCTATTTTGATAAAACCCATTTCAGTTGTTATACTCACGTTAGAAAAGAAAATCTAAATTTTAACACTTTGAAGTTGACAAAATAATTGTCTCAAACAACCCACCCCCGAATTATAGTGGTTTTGCAATTGAACCCTCAAACTTATGTAATTGTTAAAATTAGGCCCTCAAATTTACACAGCTTCAGAAGTTAATCCCTTTTCCTCTGTTCTGTGTTCTATCCATTTTTTTTTTCAATGGGGCAGCTCGGTTTCATCTTCTTCGTCCGACTTGAGCTTCTCTGCATCTTCAAGTTCCAATACTTGATTCATTGATAATTATTATGCTTCAGACAAGTATAAATTCACTAAACATCATACTTCTCTTTTGTCATAATGCTTATCTTACTCACGCCCCTTGGTCAGCTTGGGGACAAGTTCGCGTTGGTGCTTTTGACTTCTTTGTCATATGGCACCATGTTCTCACTCTTCTCTTGATCAATTGTCGGGCGAACTTTCCCCAACTCAACATTTGGCACTTCTCTTAGCCAATCTGCACACTTTCTGACACATAACAGTACATCCCGAGGGTGTGGCTCGTAAGCCAACCACAACATTCCTTTTCGTAGTACCAACTCTTGTGGAAACGGAGTCTAGACGGCTTGCTAACTGACTTTCAACAAACGCCTTTTGCTTTGACACAATGGCATGGATTTCATAACAATGGCTTTAATAGATTTTCATTACCAATGCCTGATATGGTTCAGTAGAATGTGTTCAAGCCACATAAGAATGATACATAACAAGCAGGATTTGTAGCAACGTTGTGCTTTGGCTCCCAAATACTAAAAAACTAGGCTCCCTACCAGCAAGGAAGTGAGTGGAACTGTGAGGTTATCGTCAATCTCAGTGCTTATGGGAAGAGACTCGACCAATGCTGAGGCAACGGACACAACTAAGAATCCCAAAACCATTCTGTTGCTTCCCTCAACATACCCAAATGAGGAGAAATAGTACATATACCTGTCATTCGTAACACAAATTCTTATTACTAAACCATCCCAGAAAGATCACAAACACAGTAAGTCGTTATACTCGACATTCGAATCCAAAACGAAGAGAGAATTTACCCGACAGATGCAAGAAAACCAGCAGATACCATTGCCACGCTACCAGCTAGTGACTTGTTTTTGTTGTAAGAGATCTTTCGACTTCCGAATCGTCTCCCGACGATATCAGCCAACCCTGAAATAGTAAGCCACATTGTTGCATTGGGTAAGCCATAATTTTTTGGTTGGGGAGAGGTAATAAGTTAATGTACAAAAGTGAAAAGTACCATCTCCAGCACATAAGTTGCATATCAGTGCAATTGAAATGGGGGACGTCCTCCAATAGAATATACAAACTAATGTAATTGTTGCAACATAATACAATGGCCCCTTCAAAAGCTCCCTGATGGATAAGAACATGCAGGTCAAATTAAGAAGTAAATATATTTCATGTACTACTATTGAACGAAGTTATCCATCAGTATTAACTTTCAACCATGAGGAACCAGTAAATGATATTACGATGGAAACAAAAAGAACTCCAGCGGCAAACAATGTGTGAGATCCACGTCAGTTGAGGAGAAGAACGAAGCATTCTTATAAGGGTGTGGAAACCTCTCCCTAGCAGACACATTTAAAAAACCTTGAGGGAAAGCCCAAAGAGGACAATATCTGCTAGCGGGGGACTTGGGCCGTTATAAATGGTATCAGAATTAGACACTGGGCGATGTACTAGCCAGGAGGTTGAGCCTCAAAGGGGAGTGGAACAAGGAGGTGGGCCAGCAAGTACGCTGGGCCTCGAAGGGGAGTGGATTGGGGGTCCCACATCGATTGGAGAAGGGAACGAGTGCCAGTGAGGACACTAGGCCCCGAACGGGATGACTTATGAAATCTTACATCGATTGAAGAGAAAAACAAATCGTTCTTTATAAGGGTGTGGAAACTCCAGCGAGGACACTGGCCCCGAAAAGGGGTGGATTGTGAGATCTCACATTAGTTGGAGAGAAGAACGAAGCATTCTTTATAAGAGTGTGGAAACCTCTCCCTAACAAACGCGTTTTAAAAACTTTGAGGGAAAGCCTAGAAGAGAAAGTCCAAAGAGGACAATATATGCTAGGGGTGATCTATGGCTATTACACAATTACACAATGAATTAGAAGGAAAACCCAACAAAGGAGTGAAAAATTTTCCTTCCCAAAGATTCAACAGCAAGAAATAAGCCTTATCCTTCCATTTAACAACCAAAAACAGACCAAATTCATTTGGTTAAGTGTATGTATACCCAGAGATTAGTCTTGATAGGAGGCTCAAATCAACAACGAGCCTATTTAGAGTGGCTTTCTAAGTGCTTAAAATGCGATTCCAAACGAACCAAAAGATACATGTTCCCCAAAAACTTATTTTACATGATTATGTTCGATACAAAGTTGTACCTGCAATCTCCATTTCTGCTCATCGACTTCACCGTAGCCTCGTCTTTCAATATCCCCAATCCCAAGACGAGCATTCGTATTATATTGACACCGGGAATTAGCGACGCCAATAATGCTCCTCGATGACCAGAACTGCAATAAGAAGTTGATTCAAGCATAATTGTACAAATATAGAGCAGGAGAAGGGCCAGAATTAACTTTTATCACTCTAAGTTCACCTGAACATAGGCCAGCAAAGCATGAAAGCAAGCCCAATGCTTGTATGAACAAGCTTCCTGTTCAATTTCTGAACCAATTATCGGTAAGAACACACCTTCCATAAAAATTAAGAACTGAAAAGTTGGATTTTCACAATTTGAAGCCTTCACATTTCCACTGATAAGCATTTTCCAGTGTCAGAATTCCATAACATTGATTATTTTTCAGCATTGTACACAGAACATGCGCCTTGTTGAACTGAATCAATCACTTTCTATGGTATATCAGTACTAATACTACGGTCAAGAATTGAATATCAACGAGCAATCCTTCTAAGTTGAAATCCTCTTTTGTTTCTTAGAGTTTTAACTTCTTTTCGATTATACTTGCAGAAATCTAAGAAACAGGTGAAAAGAAAAAGAAAAGGAAAATCAGTGGATAAAAGAAATAGAACCTGATCGAGGCCACGTTTAGCGGTTTCCGTCCATAATCGAAGCAAAGACAAGGCGACTCCACCGGACACGGCGGTGGCGCAGATATCAGACACCACCGGATTATCAGGCAACAACATTACTGCCGCAACTCGGCACTGTTCCCGACGGATTTTGGTCCCAAATCTCAAAGTGAATGCATCGGAGCGGAAGATCGGCGCAAAGATAGAGTTGAAAGAGACGGAAACTGGTCTGAATCGAGAGATTAAAGTTGGGGAACTGAAGGGAAATAAAGGGCCAAAAGACCCCGAACGGAATAGGAATTGAAGATTTGCAGCCATTTTGGATTCAGTTGAGAGAGGTGGATTGGCTGCTGGCCATGGGGCTCAGCAGGCCGAATGGTAGCATAGTACTTCGAGTTGTCCCCTCGGCGTGAGCGTAGTCGCTGACACCTGCGTGGGCTTTGAGCCTAAGAGTTTAATGAACCGACAAAATTGTAAGATATTGGTTGGATTTAAACATACATGTGACCTATCTATTAAAATCATAGTATGGTCTTCAACTTTTTTCATATTCGGGTATGATTGTATATGTGGTATTTATGGGTTTGGCTTTGACGGACACAACACGCTAATGCGTCACTCGACGCCATAGAAAAGACTCGTATAATATCATGGAGAACATAAATTTTGAAAGTACGAATCCGTACTAACATAACCGAGAAGTATCTCGATGCACGTGATATACATAAATGCATAAGGTCCAATGGTTTAAAAATCGTAGTTGAACTTATAAATTGCTTCCTTCTTCCCCTTCATCCATGTTAGAGTTCACGAATGTGTCATGCGTGCACTATCATCAGCGATGTTGTTCATATCAAGACATGTTAGGACATCACATGCATACATAACTTGACATCATACACCATCACATAGCATACATAAACACAACATGACATTATGTCGCATGTAGGGACCATGGGGTATGTGTCATCACACATCATACATTTCTTCTAGCTCGAAAGGTAGGGTCACTTACTTGGTCGGTCTTAGGCAAAGTCCTTGACTATTTTATAGCTGATCTTAGACTGTCTTCAATATTTAATTTTACCTATACAAACTCATATCATATTCTTAGGACATATTATTAAACTTAGTCTAATCAAATACAGTGATTACTCCCAATATTTATCCTAAAACTATATATAATTGAGTAAATGGGAGTCTTACTAACCTCAAACGCCCTCAACAAGGTAAAAAAACAGCTTCAAGAGGGTTGAAATGTAGGAAACGGTACAAAAATCGTATACCGAGCCAAATATGCCGTTTTCAAGCTGCTGAGCCGCACCGGAATCGAGTCGAGGAGTGTGTCGACAGATGAGCTACGGTTGGGAGTGGGGCATGTGTGGGGCTAAGGAGTGCAAGTCGTTACTCAAGTCAAGGCATGGACTTCGTGTCGGGTCGTTGGGGCCGCGGGTTGCGTTCGAGGGTCGAAATGGGTTGTGCATTCAATATGGCCCATGAGTAAAGGGATGAGGGATGTTGGGTTGTGGGCTATACTTCTTGGTTTTATGTCTCTCGAATTGAATCCGAACTAACTTCGCTTTGTCTTCTACACCCGACAGCTACCTGAATTACAGTCCTAATACCTTTTCTTCTCCAATCGATTTTCTGAAGTCTC